TGGCTCCATATAAGGTCAGAGAAATGCATGTTTGTTTACCCTGCGGAGCGGGGCTCGGTCTGTTTACATTCACACTGCACTCGAACCGCGCTGGAGTTCTCTTCTACCGGGCCGAGACCAAGGTTTTAGCCTGGGCCAGAGTTCGCCTTTTTGTTCCATGACAGAGTTCGATGGCGCGTTCACACCTCCCTAAATGAACCGGACTTTCTAGGAAAACGAGCTAGAGTTTGATTAAAGCGGACTAAACAGGGCAGGTGTGAATGCACACTAAGTCACATATCAAACCAGCCACTAGGGAGAACAAGCCATGGTATCTCTTGTGCCGGTCCCAAGCCTGGGTAAATGGTGAGGGTTGTGTCAGGAAGGGCATCTGATGTAAAACACTTTTGCCAAAACCATAATGCGAGTTCATCAAAGGAAAACCATACCGTATCGGTCGAGGCCCGGGTTAACAATGACCGTCACCGGTGTTGTTGACAAACAGGGTGCCAGCAGAAATGGTGCTACTGTTAGTCGAAGACCACGAGGAGGGAAATGTGCCAGGAGACAGAGGGAGAAGAGGAAAGTGAGGAATGTAGGACTGAGGGTTGCAACTCTAAATGCGGGGACAATGACAGGCAAAGGTAGAGAGCTGACTGACATGATGCAGAAAATAAAGGTAGATGTTTTATTTGTCCAAGAGACCAAATGGAAGGGCAGCAAAACTCACAACATTGGAGCAGGGTTCAAACTGTTTTACCATGGTGTGGATAGAAAGAGAAATGGAGTAGGGGTGGTCCTGAAGGAGGAGTTGGCAAAGAATGTAGTAGAGGTGAAGAGAATGTCAGATAGAGTCAGAGTCAGATAGTCAGAGTTTCTTTATTGTCATTCGCACCTCATGTGGTACATGTGGTGGAGCGAAATTATGTACACAGGGTCCCAGTTACATCCAACAATAAAATGTAAAAGAAAAGCAATGATAACATCTAAGATATGAAATAAGAACAACATCAACTAAGTATACACGAAGCACTAATAGCATTAAAAAAAACATTACGTCGAACATCAGCACAAACAAGAACATGACTCTGTGAGCAGATGAGCATGCATGAACACATCAACACTGAAACAGATCATCAGCAACATGATGTGCTTTTTTTCACAGTGATTATTCTGGTTAGAGATTCATGAGTCTAACAGCCTCAGGGTAGAAGCTGTTCCTCAGTCTAGTGGTTCTACACTTAATGCTCCTCAACCTACTTCCTGAGGGGAGTGGGGAAAAAAGTGTGTGTGCTGGGTGAGTGGGGTCCTTCATGATACAGGTGGCCCTCTTCCTGCATCAAGATCGTGCATCGTGGGATGTCTGTGATGGTGGGGAGACTGACTCCAACAAACTTCTGTGCAGCCTTCACCACTCTCTGCAAAGCTTTTCTTTCCGCAGCTGTGCATCCTCCATGCCACACATTGATGCTGGAGCACAGGATGCTCTCCACTGCACACCTGTAGAAGGAGGTGAGGACTGAGGTTCCCAGACCAGCTCGTCTCAGCCGCTGGTAGTGTTGTTGCTCCAGCTGAGGTTGTTGTTCAGGTGTACACCCAAGTACTTGTAGCTGGAGACCACTTCCACTGCAGATCCTCTTATGTTCAGGGGGGTGTAGGTGTTTTTGTTCCTTCTGAAGTCCACAATCATCTCCTTTGTTTTCTTCACATTGATGTGAAGGTTATTCTTTTTGCACCAGCTCTCCAGGTGTTCCACCTTTTGCCAGTAGCGGGACTCATCATTGTTTGTGATGCATCCCACCACTGTTGTATCATCTGCAAACTTTACAATGTGACAGCCTGGATGGGTAGCTGCACAATCATACGTGAGCAGAGTAAACAGGAGGGGGCTCAACACACATCCCTGAGGAGAGACAGTGCTGAGGGTTATGGTGGAGGAGGAGAAGTTGTGGATCCTCACTGACTGTGGTCTGTTTGTTAAGAAGTCTTGTACCCAGTTGCAAATGGAGAGGCTTAGTCCTGTAGAGGAACATATATCTGTGATATATTATCCATAAATTAAACGGATTCTTTCATTTTTCTGGACTGAGTTCTATTGTGCATTGAATTATTAAATGTGACGTGAGACGTTAATTTTCTTTGACCCATCAAATGAATGCGGTCATTTATTAACAGAATCAAAGTTTAACATCACACATTTACATTAATTTGGCAAACTGATTTCAACAACAGCTTAATTAATTAGCTCTACGTCAGAGACCATACGGCCATGGTATCTGGGTTCAAGCTCTACAACAGACATTTCTGAAAATATCTGGATTAATTACTGGCAAGATAGAAGAGTTTTAAAGATGGAAATGAAGTTTAAATTGAGAGAGATGGGTGAGGGAATTTGTCTGTTATAACCAGAACAACACGCTCCTTTGGCCCCAGCTTAACCAACGGTACACTTTGCGGTTGAAGATCGACTCTTTTACCTTTGCAGACGATAGTTCGGCCTCGGTGTAGAGTTCTCTTTCAACGCTTTCCAGCGTCTCCGTAAGGATAGTAGGGAACCGTTCGGAGTCGTGAGATCATCCCAGAACAGACTTCTTCATAGTTCCTCTGAACTTCTCTCGTTCAGCTTAGTTGCCGTTGTTCTCCAGCATTCTGAACTCTGCATTCTCTCTCCGCACTCTCCTGGAACTAGGAAGTGTTGAACCTTTTAAAGAGGTCACTTCCGGTTCCTCTGAGAGCTTCCTGATTGGTCGATACGAACCAACAGGGTGTGGTCTTAGTGATGTAAGAGGTTATTAAAAGTCAAGGGAAAAGATTAGATTGTTTAAGAACAGACAGAAGATGTTTTGAGGAACCCGAGACTTCGTGGAGTCAATTCTCTCATATCTGTCTGAAAAAGTTAAACATGACATTTCTTTCCAGTAAACTTGTAGTTGACCGAAACTTGACCTTTGACCAACTTACACTTGCTCATTTCAGACAGAAGATCAAGAAAATGAATAATTACTCTTGTAACGAACATTAAAATGATTTCTACTTTGAATGAGGATTAAAAATCATTAATACTGTTTCACAGTTGATTTAAATGAGTAGTTCACTTCAACATTTAAAAATGGTTTGAACTAAACACACTTTTGATTATCACGACATTTGTAAAATAGTAATGATAATAAAAAAGAGAGTGTTCTTTCAATTGATCAGTGCAGGACACAGAAAGTCTCTGGATGAACTTAATTTTGTGTTTCTGGACTCAAATCAATGAAATAACAGTTCTTGTCCCAGAAAGGCCCTCAGGGCCAGATTTGACCTGAGGCTTAGTTCACTACAGTCCTAATATGAATAGTTTGTCCATCAGGTTTTGGAGGATCATGGTGTTGAAGGCAGATGTGAAGTCCATAAAGAGCATATGGACATAAGAGTCTTTCTGCTACAGGTGGTTGAGCACAGTGTGGACCACAGAGAAGATGGCATCCTCTGTTGATCGGTTCTCACGGTATGCATACTTATGAGGGTCCTCGTTGATGTTGATGGTTGTTTTGATGTGAGTCATGACCAGGTTTTCGAAGCAAAAATAGCAAAAATACATATGTAGCTATATACATATATATGTATATATAAATATATATATATATATATATATATGTGTGTGTGTGTGTATATATGTATGTGTGTGTGTATATATATGTATATGTGTGTGTATATATATGTATATGTGTATGTGTGTGTATATATATATGTGTATGTGTGTGTGTATATATATATGTATATGTGTGTGTGTGTATATATATATATATATATATATATATATATATATATATATATA